CCCCCCCCCCCCCAATACACAACACAGGGAACCTGCTGCCAGCCATGATCATGTTATCTTCATGTGTGCATTCCTCTGTGTTTATGACATGATCCGCCACCAGCACTCTTACCTTCCCCTTTCACATGCACATTGTTCTCACTGCTCTAGTTCCTATTTCTGTGGCTTCGCAGAGCATTTCCTGTTTGGAGTCATTGTGACATCACAGGGGGAAGAGCAGGCAGGGGGAGGATTGTAGTCTTCTGGAGTCACGGTGACATCCTCAGTAGGCAGGGCTGAGCCTTTAACTCTCTCACTGCTGCTCACCAATCGCTCCTAATATTACATAAATTCCCTTACGTCAGCTATGGAGACCTAGGATTTTCTTCATTTAGAAACAACATTTCAGCATATTTTATAATAATAGATCAATTAAAGTAGATTTAATCCCTAACTAAATGAATTTTAATCTGCTTAATCCGTTCGCTGCCGAATCCATTTTTTTTTGTGCTATTAAGACTGAGGAATTTGTTTATTTTTTTTTATAACAACATTTCAATATTATAATAATCCTTAAACTAAATAAGGCCTCATTCACATGAGGAAAGGCCGACACATACAGCTCCGTGCTGCGTGCACGCCCGTATTGGGCATCTCCCGAGTGTACGGACCTGCACTTGGGGTGAGCGTAGGGCGGCGTACGGCGGCGTACTCCCATAGAGAAGGACAGGGGCCGCGTGTGATTAGTATGCAGCCCCTGTCCTTCTCTATGGGAGTATGCGGCCGTATGCCCCCCTATACTCACCCGCCCTGCACGTCCGTGCGGGTGAACGTACTCGTATGCTGACAAGATAGATCTTGTCTGAGCCGGAAAACACGCACCCGTACGGACCTGCACTTGAGGTGAGCGTAGGACGGCGTACAGCCGCGTAGTCCAATAGAGAAGGACAGGAGCTGCGTACTAATCACACGCGGCCCCTGTCCTTCTCTATGGGAGTACGAGGCCGTCCGCCGCCCTACACTCACCCCAAGCGCAGGTCTGTACGGGTGTCCCAGTTCGGATGCAGGCAGGATCCATCCTGTCAGCGTACGAGTACGGACACCCACACCAGCCGGACGTGTAGGGCGGCGTACGGCCGCCTACTCCCATAGAGAAGGACAGGGGCTGCAAACTAATCACAGGCAAGCACCTGTCCTTCCCGGGAGCTGCCCGATACGGCCATGCACGGAGCTGTATGTGTCGGCCTTTTCTTGTGTGAATGAGGCCTAAAGGTGCCCATACACCTTACGATTATCGGACGAAACTTTTCGTCTGATGATCGAACCGTCGTACGATTGTCATACGGCTGACCCATCCTGCCCCGATTATCACAAGGTTCAATCAGCGGTAGTTAAAAAAAACACCTGGACGGATTGCAGTAATCGACCACACGTATCTTCGTTTGCGCATGAGCAGTGTTAATCGTACCACTTTTGATGTACGCAAACGCCACCAACCATGCGAAAATCGTACGATCGACTGAAGTTTCCGAACATGCAGGAAAGACAAAAATCGTACGATTGTACAGTACTGGCGGTTGCACGCTCCCCATACACCTTACGATTGCCATACGAAAAGTTGATCGCATACTATTATCGTACGATAATCGCAAGGTGTATGGGCATCTTTAGGGTTAATTACTTCTAAAGAGATGCAGACACTGGAACTTTCCTCACCACAGAAAGTCCACCAGCTGATTATAACGAACCCAGACCCTCTCATTCAGGGATCAGTCTGGAGGACATTCTGGAACAAACTGCTTTTCCTTCAGAACAGGAGCAGGTAGGGATCTGCAACAAAGTGTGTTATAATCCTTGCAATGTACACTGATCACGCAGAGAGGATTGATCTTTTCTCCGAGTTATATAGTTTTGCTGTAACTACCAAAATTGGTATACCGCATTAAACCTTTCATCCAACCTCTGAATTATTGCATTTTACATGTTGTAAAGCCCATATAAAGGAAAAGTAACACCGGTTAGTCTGAACAATCATTTATTACATATTCTTCTTAGTCCATATTACTTGTGGAAGGGGAAACTTTATCAAACCAACATCAAATACACTACTACTGCCTCACATATGGGAGTAGACTACCAGCTCTCAAACTGTTATGTTACTCATAAAAAGTAGGAAATGGCGTGAAAGGGAGATATTGGCTAGCAAAACAGTACTTCATTAACCATTTCACTGCTGCTGACTTTTGCCATACGTCAGCAGCGGCAGGCCCCAGTAAGCAAACTCTTGACTGTCAGCTGTACACTGGTAATGATCAGGGCAGGTGCTAGGATTTTTCAACCACTTCTAAGGGGCTGTCAAACATGCACTCCAACCCCATTCCATCTCTCCTGGTCCCCGCTGCTACACCGGCGAGCCCAGGAACAACATGGTGGCTGGGCGCTTGCTCATCTCCTCTCCTGTGCATGAACCCAGAAGTAACAGGACCCAGAGAGGCCAAGGAAGAAGCTGATCTGTGCTTGGCTGGCTTCAATGGGCTACAAAGCAGTGGCGTCGCAAGAGGGGTGCGGCCCACACCCGGGTGCCACCATTGGAGGGGTCAGTCAGTTTGGTGTCACCCCCTCTGAAAAGTCGGGCACTCGGTCACGGACCGAGAGCCCGACTGTGTCAGGAGAGAGGAGGGGACCCGGCGGCATACCTCATCCCGCCGAGTGAACGTCCCCTCCTCTCCATCACCATCAGGCGTCAATAAGATGACCACGCATGCGAGCGTTGATGTCATGGCAGGGTTTCACCTGGTCTCCGCTCCGGGTGACACCCAGCCTCTGGACGCCCCTGCTACAAAGGTGAAACATTTGAGCCTAAAGGGGACCGGTCATCACCATTAAAGTGCTGTCACATAGGGGGTTTGTGAACCCCCAATGTGATAGCAATAAAAGTTTTAAAAAAAAAAGTCTTAAAATATAGTAAAAATTTTAAAAAACACCCCAACAAATGTTTAAAGTCACCCTCTCCTCCCCTGCGTGCCTGCACATACTAATGCAAACGCGCCCGGGTGCACCAACGTATAAAAATAACAATGTTGACACACATGTTAGGTATCGCTGTGCACGCTGGAGTGAGAGCAATAGTTCCATTATTTCTAGGTAACTCTAAAATGATAACATAACTGTTAAACCATCACCTGTAGATATTTTTAGGTATCACAGTTGTCCCCCATTTCACAGGCGCATGCATGTTTTATATCTTTTTTACTTGGTGCAACCTCATCTTTTATTTTTTTACTAGTATTTAAACAACAATTTTTTGCCCAGCTTCTTTGATTTTTTTCCATTGAAATTTGTCTATCGCATAGTTAGAATTCTAACAGTGTATGGTCATCTGTAGACACACTACATGCAAATATCATTCGTCTCCAGCTCAAACCCCTGCCACAATGTGCAAATAGAAGACTAGCTTGTGCATCAGCCTTTCAGATTAAGTACACAGCGAGCTGCTGTAGTGTCTGTAACAGTTCCATGTGATAAGTGATCCTTCAAACTAAGGATACAAATCCTTCCGGGTACACCTGACCGCAGGCGATTGCAGTATATAATAAACAAATCAATCAATGAATCCCTGTGATACTCCAGCATGCACACCGCCATGTAGCACAAAGTATGCCGCGGGAGTCTTTAAAGGAGAACTATGAGGTGAGTGCTTTCCACTCACCTCATAGTTCTAGCCGACCTGTGACAATGAGACTGTCACAGGTCGGCTCAGTAGATCGGGAGGTGAGCGAACACATACCGGCGTTCGCTCACCTCTCGAGGGATTCCCCCCCCTGATCCGCCTGCGCTGACTGGCGGAACGGACGGGGAAGGGGGCGGGTACAGCTGGCTCTGCCTCTAGATCAGCAGAGCCAGCTGTCACTCACGCAGCTGGGCGGATCTCGACATCGATGTCGGGATCCGCTCCGGCTGCGGCGTCTCAGTATACCGCGAGCTGTAGCTCGCGGTATACTGAGCCTAGGGTGACGGGAGAACGCTAGTTTGTGTCCTCCCGATACCCTAAGGAGAACTATGGGGAAAAGCCCTGACCCCATAGTTCTCCTTTACCTCTTATTAGGTGTACGCCAATCTTTAATATTCATGCGTCCATTGATCCATTGAATGGCCCACAAAATAAAATAGGATCAATTCACAAATAATGAGTATAAAAAATAAGTATCAATATTTTAGTTATGCGACTATCATTTTCCAGTGTTATTGGTCTCAGCATCAAATAATTGTGCTGGCAGTGCCATTATTTTCCAATGGCACCCCAGTTGCGCCAGGCATCTCGCGCGGTTTACCTCCACGATACAGCCGGGGGAATTGAACATGATCGTGGTTGAAAAAACTGCACGGTGCGTGTTGCAAAAAGAGGTGCGCGTTCCGGATATAACCTCATGGAAATCAATGGGGCCGTGCGGCAATCGCTGTGTGCAATCGTGCACGACCATGCATCCCAGGATCGCCGATATCTGAACTTAGCCTCAATGTGTCATTTACAACACATTTCTGGCATTAATGCTGTCTAAGAAACTCCTGGGCCAAATTCAGAAAAAGCAATGCAGCAGCTCCTATGCTATTACTGGCACGTGCAACAAATTCAGGCAGTTCTTATTAGCGACACTTTTAAATGATGTTGCAATGGCTGCAACAAATTCATAAATACCGCTGTTTTGGAGATAAGCAAAGTGGCGGTAAATAATAGCAGTCACATTATAATGGTGTTTATTGTTTTCCCATACGTTGTTGATTGCTAGGATGCCGTCAGCATCCTAACAACCAATGGCAGCTGACTGCACAAGATTATTGGTTGCTGGGCTGCCGGCATCTCAACAACCAATCAGGCTTGCCTGCACATTGTCATTGGTTACTAGGATACTGGCAACATCCTAGCAAGCAGTTAGGCTCAGCTGCACAATGTCATTGGCTGCTAGGACACTGGCAGCCTCTGGACCACTGACGTCCTAGCAGCCAATTACATCTCCTACTTTGCCCACAAGTTATTGGCTGCTTGGATGCTGGCAGGCCCAGAGGCCCAGATGCTGCTGAAGTCTGAACAACCAATCATGCTTGGCCACACAAGGTCATCATTGATTGCTAGGACACCAGCAGCACCATAGCAAGCAATCAGGCTTGGCTGCACAAAGTCATTGGCTGCTAGGACACGAGCGGCCCTAAGGCAGCCAGCATCCTAGCAACCAATGAAACTCAGCCACACATCAT